TGAACCATGGATTAATATATTGTGAAGATATGGTGTATCCTAGTTCCAGGGTCGTCCCTAAAGTCAAGTAATCCTATAGGGATTCTTCTTGAATTCTCTTATAATGATCTTACCTATTAAATGCTAGAGGTTAAGATCAATATGTGGAATTTCAAGCTGAGTAAAAAGAAGAGTTTTGAATTTCTAATGGTGGGGTACCTCTTCTAATTTTCTAAGACTAGTCAATAGGAAAGTCCTATGGCTAGACCTAGGCTACTAAAGAAGTTTTCTAGACCTCAACCAAAAGTGAGGTCAACACACATCTATTTATTGAGGATTTAGTACAATAGTGGATAATAAAAATTCTGCAACCTTCTTTATTAAATGTTTCTTCTATTTATAGGAGATATAGTACAATAGTGATACTAAATCTCTCAAAAATCTCATTCATGCCTTTTTACAATGGGGGAGTTATATATACAACTCCTATTGGCATTGCAAGAAAAGAATAAATAAAAAAAATTAAAATGGTAAATTGTTGTCGTTGATCCTACAGGAACACACATATTAAAATTTGTGGGTCATAAACAGACACCTAATGGTATAGAGTTACGATCCATGTGTCTTACGTTCTTTGCTATCTAAGGGTCATAAATAATAGATCCAATAGTACAAAGCATTGATTCGTGTGCTCTCAGTTTTTTGATGTGATTGGAGTAGAAATTCAACATTAGATGCTTCAATAAGAGCCTTGAAAATTTTCTAGCACTAAAAAATATTGACATTGTCTTGAGTGTCTTCCTTAATGATATGCATGAGGGGGGCACCTCATTTCTAATGGGACTTATCCACTGATGAAATTAAGGATGAAGAGACAAAGGCTTCAACATCACATCATCTTCAACAAATATAGAAGTGACTAACATCCTTTCATTTTAAAGTCAATCATGATGAAAAATTTTGTAGTAATAGATGTTGATAATTCTAGCGTTAACCGAGTTCAAGGGTGAAGACAACATTATAAGGTAAGGATTGTGTTATACTCATTGAAGTTTAAAATGAGCTTATAGCAAAGTCATTGACTTTAATGAGGGAAAAATGTGTCATTATCTCTGAAAGTGAAGTCCCTTTAATAGAGAAATATGAATCAAACCAAAGTACAAAGATAATATTTTTAAAAAAATTTTATGAAATATATTTGTTAGACTTTAATACAACAAAGACAAATTAAATACTCAATATTTTATATGTTCTTAATTCAAACAATGAGCAATTATATAAAAATGAGCATAGAGATCGATGTTATTGAATTGGTATTTGATATAATTTCATGCATGGGTTGAAGTCAGTGTAGCTAAATGTGTAATCGAAGAGTTAAATTAGCAATCAACAAATAATTCAGGTGGACATTGACTGAACTGAATGCAAGTAATCTTGGTGAGTTATTTTGACAAAAAATCTTAGTTGGCTACAACTGCTTCAGATGAGTTATGATTAGCCAATCATCTCGACTTGTAGGTCCTTACAAGTCCCATTAGCTTATTTAGTATCGGAGTTAAGAGTTAATTATTGTGCAACTTAGATTAGATTAGACTTGAAGCAACTTTAAATATACACTTTCGAGTTATAGATTATTTAAATTAGCTACAATCAATGACATGTGAACTCAATTTTAGATCACACTACTACTTTTTGAATAGGGTGCCACAATTATGAATCTTCATAATATAAGTTGTAAATAATCCCATAATCTACACACTAACCCTCGCCTAACTCTGGGTGGTAGGAAATGATTACAAATATATATTTTTTATTTAATAATAATTTAATAACTTTAAACATATTCTCAATATGTATGTCTAATATGCCATATATATGATGAGCTACTCATAAGGAGTGGTGGGTCATCTTTACCTTTGATAATGATATCCATCTTAGAGAGTTTTGTCGATCATGAATGGACATGATTGGTAAATAGAATGTCTTTCAGTGGAATATTTTTCATAAATTATTTCAATTTGTTCAATGAAAAATGCATAAAGCAATTTTGTGAATGGCCTTCTGGTTTAGGGGTGTAAACGAACCGAACACGAACGAACAAAGCTTGTGTTCGTGTTCGGTTCGTTTAAAATTTAGTTTGTTTGAAATAAGCTCGTGTTCGTTTCTTAACGAACGAGCCGAACACGAACCGA